TTGGTAACCTAGGTCAGGTCAAAGAGGTTCACCCAAACGACTTTGACCACCCGTAGCTTTTTTGTGAGCAAGTTGAGTGTGCAAACTTGTCATAGTAATAAAACATAATAGTACCTACAGCTTGTATATTTGAGAGTTTTCGGAAGATGCGAGATCAGTGACCTGAAGTAAGGCCAACTGTTTCCATTTTCATAAATAACGCAAATCTATAAACACCACTGTGTAGTTCTCGCGAGTGCATATGACGTTAAGAGTGCGAACTTACAACAAGTCATCATAAGACCACAAAGCACATGACCCTGGTCCAGATCATGGCCTATATCTGGGGGTATCTTCTGCAAAATACATGCTTACACGAAGAAGGACGTTTTAAACTGTAATTTTGGACGCAGAATTTGAATGTTCTGTTGAGAACATGTTGTTATATCATGTTAATAAACTAGAACGCAATAGTTTCCGTAAGGACATGCAGGGTCACACGAGGTTATCCAAGTGAGGTGAGGCGGTGAGGTGCGCCGAGCCCGCTACATGTCGGGGGATCGTCCGCAGTTCCTGCGGGACCGGGGAAGGACTCGGGGCGTCGCCCGGGAAGGCGTTCGGAAGGAGACACAGACGCCATCTGTTAGTCGATATGGGCAATCGCGGTAGAGGGCAGCACCCGGCGGAGCGCGATGGCGGCGCGGGCACCCGCGACCCGCCGGCAGATGACAGTCTTCTCGCGGTGTGGATGGGCGGAACAGTCCACTGCTCGCGGCCCGCCGGCAAGCGGGCAGCCCGGCGTGGCTACGACAAGGACGAGGAGCCAGACGACCGCAGTCCTGCTTTTACGCAGATAGACGTTTGTGTGTAGTGCGGCTCAAGACACAGTTCGCCCTTTTTTCGGAGATGGCTGACTCGTTTCATTGTTCCCCACTTAAACCTCAGGCGTGACGGCCTAAAGAGGCATTGGTCATGATGTGACCTTAGATCCGTGGGGGCCGTCCGGGATGCGTGCTTGTGCACGGCGGCAACGGAGTCTATCCGTGGCGTCTCCGCCTTGGGAGAGGACAGAAGTCAGTCTGCTCTCTTCCGACGTGGTGTACGCCGGGTCTTATGAGGCGATTGGTGACGGGACGTTCGGGACGGATGGGATCCCGCCATCGACGCTCATAGGGAAGGCGACGAGGAATCAGGTCGCCAGACAGGCCGGTCAGGCCGAGTCTCCAGAGCGCACCGGCCGAGGAGACCGTTAGGCGTGGACGCAGGTCGCGCCGGGCTCTCGTCGTCTGCCGAGAGGCTCCACAGGTCTCATGAGCGCGCCGTCTACCCCCAGGCCTCTAAGGGGCGCGCCGTGGGGCGGTGCCTTGCAAAGCCAGCTCCGGCGGGCGGGAGGGCGTGGGCGCAGAAGTGGCGGAAGCGACGTCTCCGTGCTGGACGGGGCGCTGCCTAAGGCGCGTGCGCGGCAGCAGGAAGCTGCGAACGGTGGATGTGGCCATGCGAACGGTGGGCCGCCCATCGTGGACGGAACGTGGGGAGCGTCGTCCAAACAGGGAGCCGTTGCCCTGGAGGTCAGGCGAGGGAGCGAGTCGCCGCTCAGCTTCGGACACTCGGTGTCGGCCCAGCAGCTGCTTCGGTGCCAAGCTGGCAAATCAACGTGATACACTTTGAACGGGGCTTAAACGTAGCTTTATGGCAAGATTGAAATGTGATAAATGGATTAACTTAACGAGAGCCCACACAGACGAGCCAATTATAATGTCAAGGCGCGAGAAATAAGGGGGGGGGAGGGGCACCCGTGTGCGTGCCAAGAATGAATGAGATGATGTGGGCGCCAGCGTATGCGAATGCTTGGAATGGGTGTGATGGGGCGCGGAGGGCACTGGAGCCTGCGTGGATTAGTTGAGGCCGGGGGGGGGGGGGTCCCAGGGCCATTACCCAGTCGGCTCTTGTCAATATAATTCGCCAGTGCGTGGGACCCTTGCCAGTTGGGTGCATCAGTTTGCACGCGGATCCCGTTTTTGCCCCATTTAAATTTTATCGCAAGCTTAAGGATGGAGATGGATACCGTGGTTAAAGGGTGCACAGCCATGGGCGGGAGACAGCCGTTCATGGTGCCCGACCGGATTCCACCATCCGCCAATAGCCCCGGTCCACCCCGCTTCATCCTAGCTGTGTGGCTCACATGAGTGCGTGTTGGTGTCGGGTGTACCGGACCCACAACGTGCCGAACCGTGCGCTAACATCATCGGGCTCGCATGCTGACCAATGGGCCCTTCATTATAAATTTGCTCTTGTGGGACGGCGTGACGCGGCAGCCGGCGACGTATACCATCCAGCGGCGGCCAGGCAGCCGCGCACGACGCCCACCGCAAGAACCCCCCCCCCCCCTCCCCACAATGCCACTAGTAGCAGAGAGACTAGATGAACGAGTGCATCCCGTGAAACCACTTCCTTATCGTATTTGTGAAGCTGATGGCGTGTAATTTCATGTCCCAACATGCCTGTTCCCAGTATGTTACAAATACATTGACAAGCGTGGAAAGGACTATGTATGATGTAAATGGCAGCTATGCGATCTTGAGTACTTGTAGATGTACAACTATTATTATTATTGTTGTCGCTGTTCTTACTATATCACTATTTCTGACCACAGAAGTTCATTGCACTGGTCACATCGACCCGGATAGCACTTGATTTTTTTCATTTGAATGGTACATAAATTTGACTTAAGTTCAAACTAAGATGACCTCTAGATCACCGTTAAATATAATATTTACGTTGGAATACTTTACTCCACAGCTGCACCTGGTAAAAAATGTATTCAGAAGCGCATTTTGAAGAAAGGTATCGTTTGTGTAGGCTACTTGTAGACGAACTTTGAACGGGACCTGATCTGACCTGACCCAGGTAGAGAGCAGAAATGGTCAGAATGGACTTCCCAAAGGCGCTTCTTTTAGCGGCCTTCAACACCGGTCTGCATGTGAAGCGATGTTGTTTTTTTTTTTAGAAAACACGGCAGTCTACCGCCGGGGCAGGCTGCGGCTGGCAGCCGACGATTCTGCGGACTGGCGCGGCTGGCAGCCGACGATTCCGCGGACTGGCGCAGCGGGCAGCCGACGACTCCGCGGACTAGCGCGGCGGGCAGCCGACGATTCCGCGGACTAGCGCGGCGGGGCACCCGACGATTCCGCGGACTAGCGCGGCGGGCAGCCGACGATTCCGCGGACTGGCGCGGTGGGCGGCCGACGATTTTTGCGGGACTGGCGCGGCCGGTCGGCACTATCACATTAATGGGGCCATCCATCATAAGCGTATGCTCAAGCACGCATAACATTGCATAGCAATGGTCTCAAAAGTACACAACGAACACGCCGGTGGAATTTTCTGCCACTGTAAGGTATGGTCATGTACATATTGAACACGTGAAACAGAAAGAGTTTGGATTCAAGACAATTTTAACCTTGGCCGGCCTGGTGGAGCCAATTTTCAGCCTGCTTGATAAAAAACGGCGAATCAGACGAGAGCTGTTATTTTGTTTTCAGTTTTGTGGTTATCACCGTTCGCCAAGCCAGGACGGAAATGCCCGAAGACGGTAGCGCAGTCTTACCAACGCGCTAAACCAGACCAGATATTGATATAGACCGCTGGCCTCCAATAATAACATGCTGATAACTGACGGCTAGCGTAGTGTTTCTACATCGCTGCTTGATCGTTAATACGGGCGGGCTTCCAAAAAATGATAAGAATTATGAGAAGTTGTGACACATTTCCGATTCATTTTGTCTCTCCTTTTTTGTTGAGCTTGCTGAGAAGCAATAATCCGGCAGCTTTAGCCTCAACACGGGCCCAGTGAGGGATGAGTGCCGCATTGCGGTACATCCGTTGCGGAAGTATCTTGTGAAAGATGATGCGCAAAAGTAGACATACGTCATGAGTTAAGAATGTGTTGGAGGTTTAGACGCGCTCATTGGATGCATCTCGCTTGTTCTGGTCGCAAGCATTCGCATACTGTCTTCGTTTTGAAGGACTTCCGTTGTCGATCTATGTTATTAGTACTTTAGTTATTTGTTTTAGTCGAAAAGACCTCGAGACACGCGTAATATCAATGGAGTTCAGCTTTTAAAGAGAGTCTTCCACTTTTGTGTAGGACTGTGATCTGACATTGCCATCTTGAAGATCATTCGGTACCGTTTGCATAGCTGCCCTTCTTAAGACTTCAACACATCTAGCTTCTGAGACACACGCCCTCGAAGATGTGCAGACTACTTCAAGGTCAGCCAGGCATCTATGGCGCCACTGATGACAATTTCTAGATAAAATGGTCGCCCACCGGCTCTCAAGCAATATTGCGCACGGTAGGATGACGCACTCAAACAATGACGTATTGAGGAGCACTTTTCCTAATTAGACAAACTGTGTTGTCTAGAGCAGTCTTTTCCACTTCAAAGTAGACCAATAGTTGTAAAACAGCTTAGTTCATCATACTTGTGCTTGTGTTTGTTGTACTTGTACTTGTGCTTGTGCTCGTTTGTGGCGTTTGCTTCAATATCTTCAGATGTGAAACATTCCCTATAAAATGACTGCACGATAGAGGACATCTCATGATAAATTCCAGTGCACCACAGAGAAGCACGGCACACTGCCGTGACAAACGTTTGCACTGTAAAATGAGTACGTACCGTGGAAATTACCCATGCTCATGACATGTCCATGACTGGTGTGCAAATGTGTAAAACGCAGGATATCATGTAATGCAAACTGTGGAAACGAGCAAAGAACGCATCATCTGCAGCTGTACGTATTTGTCATGAACCTAATAAAGTGGCTATCGGACACAACCTACGCGCTATAAAGCGTCCTGAGGTTCATTTTACCGACTGTTATATTCCAGGCAGGGAGGATTATTGCAGCGGTTTGTAGCCAGTGACGGCTTGTGCGGACTGATAGCAGACAGGCCTCAGGGAGCGGGCCGTTCCAACGTAACCGAAGAGACACACTGCACAACTATGGCTGAAGAAGAACAGCGATGAACAAGTGGATGACCATGTTACTTGCTCTCGCACTCCGCCTTGGCCTTGGCATAAGCAGAGCCTAGCATTTTGGCGCCCTTGTCGTTGACGGCATAGTACGGCAGGTCTTTCATCTTGGCAAGCCAAGCCTTGATCTTCGGCCAGGCAGACAGGTCGATACCAGCAGCATCCAGAGTTGAAACGTTGGCCAACAGCGCCAGATCAGCCACCGTCATCTCGTCGCCAGCCGCGTACGCAGATCTGGACAGGAATATCTCCAGAGCATCCAGGTTTTCCTTCACCTTGCCGAAGTTGTCTTGGGACTCCTTCAGGTTCTTCATAAACAAGAGCGGGAACTGAAGCACAGATGCATTGATGCTAGTCACAGAAATTACGTAGTGTTGATATTAAAGAGAATGCAAAACACCTTAACCTCACCTCATGTCTACACACCGAGGCAGGCGAATGTGTAGCATGGAAGGACAGAAATACATAAGGAAAAATAAAAAGAGGCATAAACAGGTAGGTATAGGTGAACAGAGGGACAGGCAATGGTATAGATATCTATGGTGGACGGATAAAGAGAAAGAAAGTGAAGGGGTGTAGGAGAGAGAGAGAGAGAGAGAGAGAGAGAGAGAGAGAGAGAGAGAGAGAGAGAGAGAGGTGGGGGGGGGGGGCGAGATGGCAAGTGTGCGAGAGAGAAAGAAGAGGCAGACCATGAACGGCGAGTATGACGGGAAAAACTCAGATCGATTAGAGGCGAGGGAGACGGATTAGCAAGAGGCAAGACTGAAAACAGAAGCAAGATGCTATCGTCTCACGGGCGGGCAAGCACCGTACATCAGCTGGCTCTTCGTTTCCAACTGGCTTATCGGGCTAGGAACCGTTGCAGCCTGCCCCGGCGGTAGATGCCAGTGTTCTAAAAAAAAAAACAACATCGCTTCACATGCAGACCGGGGTTGAAGGCGCTAAAAGAAGCGCCTTGGGAAATCCATTCTGACCATTTTGCTCTCTAACCTGGGGTCAGGTCAGATCAGGTCCCGTTCAAAGTCGTCTACAAGTAGCCTACCAAACGATTACCTTGCTTCAAAATGCGCTTCTGAATACATTTTGTTGCCAGGTGCAGCTGTGGAGTAAAGGTATTTCAAACATAAATCTTATATTTAACGGTGATCTAGAGGTCATCTTAGTTTGAACTTAAGTCAAATTTATGTACCATTCAAATGAAAAAAATCAAGTGCTATCCGGGTCGATGTAACCAGTGCAATGAACTTCTGTGGTCAGAAATAGTGATATAGTAAGAACAGCGACAACAATAATAATAATAGTGTACATCTACAAGTACTCAAGATCGCATAGCTGTCATTTACATCATACATAGTCCTGTCCACGCTTGTCAATGTATTTGTAACATACTGAGAACAGGCATGTTGGGACATGAAATTACACGCCATCAGCTTCACAAATACGATAAGGAAGTGGTTTCACGGGATGCACTCGTTCATCTAGTCTCTCTGCTACTAGTGGCTTGTGGGGGAGGGGGGGGGGGGGGGTCTTGCGGTGGGCGTCGTGCGCGGCTGCCTGGCCGCCGCTGGATGTTATACGTCGCCGGCTGCCGCTGTCACGCCGTCCCACAAGAGCAAATTTATAATGAAGGCCCATTGGTCAGCATGGCGAGCCCGATGATGTTAGCGCACGGTTCGGCACGTGTGGGTCCGGTACACCCCGACACCACACGCACTCATGTGAGCCACACAGCTAGGATGAAGCGGGTGACCGGGGCATTGGCGGGATGGTGGATCCGGTCGGGCACCATGAACGGCTGTCTCCCCGCCCATGATGTGCAACCCTTTAACCACGGTATCCATCTCCATCCTTAAGCTTGCGATAATATTTAAATGGGGCAAAAACGGGATCGCGTGCAACTTATACACCCAACTGGCAGGGTCCCACGCACTGGAATTATATTGCAGGAGCCGACTGGGTAATGGCCCTGGGACCCCCCCCCCCCCCCGGCCTCAACTAATCCCCATCGGCAGGCTCCATG